ACCTATGTAACTTTTCTGACCAATTATTACAGATTGAAGTCTTCAGAATGAAGCGTTTTTAAATTTATTTAGATTGAAACGCCAGCGCAACTATGCTTTTTACGTGCAACTTAAAATTTTTTGTATGCAACGATACATCCACAGAATTACTTATAAGAATGTGCAAAGCCCTCTATCATGTAAATGTCTCAAAAATCTAAATAGCATTTTACGGTTTAGAAGGATTAAAGATTACAATTTTGATATTAAAATAAAAACTGATTTTTGATTAATTTATAATGAATCAAAAAATTATTCTATATCTCGAATTAGAAATAAACCATTTCCAGATGCCTAGTTTCTAAAGAATTATTGTTCAAATGTGTTCGATTTAATATTTTTATTAAACCTATATTCGTTTTTTATTAACTTCTAGTAGGGTAAGTTATAGTAATGGGCCAAAAATCAAAAATAAACATTTTTGCTATATGCGATACAATTTTTCATCCACGTTTTCGGGCGTTTAATTTTTGGCAAAGGTGGGTCGAGCCGTTTCGGAGATACGGAGCAAAAAGTGCAGAATATAGAAATGGAGTTTGTGAGAGAACGGAGTATCTGATTTGAATGATCCAAAAATGATCGTAATGATGGCGAAAAATTGTGAATAGTATTTGGCAAAGGCAGATCCAGCCATTTCGAAGATATAGAGCAAAATGTACAAAAAATAGCAGTTTTTGAGAGAACTAAGCATCCAATTTGAAATATTATAAAACTTTCTGTTTGTGTTAATAAAACAATTGCATTTGGATTATTTTTATTTCAATATTTTTCGAATTTTTTTGTGTAAATAATTCAGATTTTAAATTTAATTCTGGCTAAAGTTCTAACGCTCACTTATATACTTCAAATAAGTAATATTAACTTCGTAATTTAGTTTATATAATTTTTATAAATTTTATACAATGTTACAGTATTTATAATAATCGATTTGAAAACAATTAATGTTCCTCGAACATTTCTTTACGGTATGGGAAGTACCAGAAATTTGCCTTAAGACACGATGCCATACACCACTAGTTTTTATATGATTTCAAGAATTTAGCTGAGCTTTATGGACAGACATTTTTGTTCATTTGGTGGTATCAACTAAAATTGTTTAAAAGATCTAATAATATTCTACCATTTTACGGATAACAATTAATCACTACTCTTATCATTGAATGCCACTCAAATATAAATGCATAAATACACTAGAATTACTTCCATTGATATTTAGGTGACGCCGTGATTTTGCGCCTAAAACAGCAAAGGGTTGCTCCCGCCGTGGCCGTGTGCGTCACAGGTGAGCCTTGGCGCGTAATCCTGCACCTGTGTGCCACCTGCGACCCTTTCACTTGTTTTTGAAATAAAAAGATTTATACTCGCTTGAATAATACGTGTTAAATAGAGTGTCCGGTATTTGCTGCCGTCCGGCGTTACGGGACTTCCCCCTATTCATAACAAAACACTATCCACATTAAGAATTCGCTTAACGAATAGAATTTGTTAAGCGAATGTACAGTCCATGTTTTTTCACATGTTAAAAAATCAAAGTCTATAATTCATGGTTTTTGTTCAATTCAAACATGTCAAAACATCTACATTTTCAGTCAATTCAAATATGTTACAAAATAAAATACTTAGTCGATGGTTTTTCACTCATTTCAAACATGTCAACCAATCTACAGTTTCGCTCAATTCAATCTTCCTAAAAATCAAAGAGTATAATAGTTCGTGGTTTTTCACACAATTTAATCTTGTTAAAAAATCAAAGTGTTTAGTCCATGGTTTTTTACTCAATTCAATCTTGTCAAAAAACCAAAGTGTTTAGTTTATGGTTTTTTACTCAATTCGAACATGTTAAAAAAACAAAGCCATGGTTTTCGCTCAATTCAAACATGTCAAAACATTTAAATTTTTCACTCAATATTTGTTAAAAAATCAAAGTGTATAGAACATGGTTTTTCACTCAATTCAATTTTGTTAAAGAATCAAAGTGTATAGAACATGGTTTTTCACTTGAATCAAACATGTTAAAAAATCTACATTTTTCTATAAACTCAAACCCAGACTTTATCGGAACAGTCTCTGACTCAGAGGCTTGCTCCGACAGAGGCTGTGGGACACTCAAGTCATATCCCGCTAGATCAGCGTTTCTCAAACTTATTTCTTCCATCGCCCCCTTAGAAGATCAACATTTTTGTATCGCCCCCCTACCAAATTTTTTATACAAACTCTGAACACTGTTTTTTTTTACTTTTATTAATATAGTTATAGTGTGATATTTTAGTTGATGCAACCTTACATTCTAAATTACTCTAATCATTAGAGTTTGAAAATAAAATTTGATATACTGTTTCTATTAAGTTGATTATAATATATAAAATATATGACTAATGTTATAAAGTTGCGTTTTATTTGCTCTCACTGGTAAAAATGTCTAATTTAGAATTCATTAGAGTCTAATGAAAAGGATGAATATCAGGTTCCATTTGAATCAAAAACAGTCGTAAGTCACCGCGTTTGATAATTTGCAACTGATTTCTGTTTTTAGTAAGTAGCATTGTCACAGCGCTAAATCCACGTTCACAGGAATATGACGATGGAAATGCTAGTAAAAATTTTTGAACAACCGACTACATGCCAGGGTATAACTGCTGAATTCTGTAGCCAAAATTATTGATAACCATCTTTAAATTTGATTTTTAATTCTTCATTTGTTGTTAATTCTATAAGCTCTTCTTCTAGCTGGGCTGATGTTTCTACATTTGCATTTGAAAAAAGGTCTAATACTCAGCCTGGTATTTCCAAATTTAAAATATCTTGAGATCTTTCAATAAAATTGCCATGAAGATTTTCCAAATGTTGGCAGTATACGAGCAAGTCTTCGTTGCACGATACCGATGAATTTGGAAAATTATGAAACTCCCGTTTTCCAATATTTTTCTTATGTAATAACAGTTTAGCTACAACAGCAGTGATGATATTTTTTGTCTTTATTAAATTTAAGCCATCGCCTTGAAGTTGTAGATTCATATTGTTGAGCAATGCATAAAGGTCTGTGAGATATGCTATATCATTTTTTGATGATGCCAGGTTTTTACACAGCTTTGTGTCCTTATTTTCTAAAAACTCTATAACAGAGTCAAACAGATTGTAAAAACGGGTCAGACACTGCTAGAAAAAGCTATAAAATGGTATCAAAATCATTTAAACACCATGGAAACACGACCAAACTTATAAAGTACCAATTAATCGTTGGGATACAAATTCTGGTGAACTTTAAAATTTAAAGTAAATAAAATTACAAATGCCCCCTAACCCAACGTCAACAACCAACATTTTTTGCGTGGCCTTTCATCGCCCCCCTGGAGATCAATATCACCCACCAGGGGGCCATATCGCCCACTTTGAGAAAGACTGCGCTAGATGGACACTTGCTTTCGAGAATCTCTAGTATTCATGGACTGAAATCATGGACAGTCCACGGATTTTCAAATTGGAATATTTCAATTTATGAATCAAAATTTATTGACAAAATATCTTGGTAATAAAAAATTTTGGAAACAAAGTTATTTGTCTATATTTTTTAAAAATTTTCTGCAGAGTTTTATTTTCATGATTTTTTTCAAATCTTTTTCGTCATGATTTTTTTCAAAAAAATGTCAAAAAATGTGTAAAATTAATTCTATTAATTTTGATCATTATATTATTAATAATCATTATATAATTAATAATCATTATATAATTAATAACTTGTTTATGTTTAATAAGTTTTTGTTTATTTAATTTGATTTGAAAAATGCAAGACTGCATACGCACAAAGATGTTCGCTTCATACAGGGCAATAAAACACAAGTTCAGCAAGGTACGTACCCGCTTGACAACCGAGAGCAGTCACCAGTTCAATAATATTAACAAATCAATAAATCGCGCTAAACACACGCTGGTCATTACGATATTGCAGCTAATGAGTTTTAAATTTTTGGACTCGGTCGGGCCGTTTTTGCAAAAAAATCAACAAAAGGTCAAAAATCGGCTCGCATACTTTTTACATCGAGAAAATATAAAATTAGCCAATAAGATTATTTTACCAAAACAAACTTAATAATTTATTCCAATGTAGTAGGTACTTGGAATCATTCCTTCAATCCTTCAAAGGTAATATAGAACAGTCATAAGTAGTATGTGAAGAACTAAAGTGTATTTAGTTCTGCCACAACTTCAATTCTTTGTTGACAATTGTTTTTTTATATATTTATATTATAATTCTGCTGATATAAATATAATGAGAAACGGTCGCTTGTATACTATAATTAAAAAGTAAACATGTAGGTACTGTAAAACAATATAATTTTAATTGTAAACTCTGTATTTAAATATGCATTTATGTACAATTTAGAAGCTTTTATAAAGCATTGTTAAATATATTAATAAGTACTTAATTATTGTCATTAGTAATTGCATAATTTTCAAATTTTCACTAAATTCATAATTCCTATACATAAATTAAATGCACGTGATAACATTACTTAATTATATATCATTTTAAACATAAATACATTTATTACATATTGAAGCCAAACTTATATAAAAAATACGATTCACAAATTTGAAATTGGCAGTTGTGAATGTGGTTGCTAGAGAGCTCATAAACCACACTTTCTTAATAATAATACTTTATCATACTCTATAATAGATTGAAATTTAATAAATAAATTATTTAATAGAACGCTATTAAAATTAGGCTTTGGACATATTAACTGTATAAATCTACATTAATGTAAAACATTTCGATAAATATTCTAAATTTATTTCGATAATTATATGTTATTCGTTAAACGATTATGGCACTACAATTAATATGTGTCAATGTTTTTATAGTTTCAATTTTTCTTAAATAAATTTTGACTTTCAATAAATTAGTCACAGTCAACAATTATTAATATATACCTTAACTAGGTAACGACTATATAATATCATTAAAGGGCACTATCATCCAATATAGTACTGAGTAGTTTTTCGTATTCCTCCTGACTCAATATGGCATCGACGTGATGTGTTCTGTTTGCACTGAAAAATCAATATATAAATCAATTAGATTTATATTGCTTTTTCATGTATTAGATGATTACAATTTGTAATATATTAATAACAATCAACATTGGATTACGTGCTAGAATTATAATAATATCGTAAAGTTTGTTTCATATTGTAGATACATATATAGGGTGGAGTAGAGTTTGAAGATCTGCTGGTAAAATAGCCCTCCATCTTTATCTCAAAAACGAGTTTTAGGAATTTAGGGAAAAGTCCCAGAGTGACGGACACCTTATTTACAAATAAGTCAAAAAATATTTTACGAAATATTTATTAAATTATAACTTATGGTAGATAACAAAGTTAGAAATCAAACTTTATTAACAAAAACGCAATCTTTGCTAAAAAATAATTAATACTATCAATCAAACATTGGTAACACAAAATATAATTTTAGAAAGTGGCACCTAGTACCGGACATTTCAAAATAACCTACATTGAACACATATGTAGCCATCTCCATACTCTGGAATGTCTGCACATGTGTGTTTGACAAATATTCTTTGATATTGCAAAAAATCACTATTTATTCACCCTTTTGGCTGGGCCACGTCGATGCCCTCAGCTGGAGCATTTATCATAAAATTTTCATTCTTGACGAGGAAATACAAAAAATGGGGTATGTAGTGACCGTTAGCACTCATGCAGAACAAAATTAAATAATTAGAATAAATTACGTCAATTCTCACAAAAATATCAATATGTTTACTGTCCTGCGCAAAGGGACGATTTAGTGTCCGGCGCTAAGGGACAGACATTTTTCTTCATTTGGTGGTATCAACTAAAATTGTTTAAAAAATCAAATTATATTCTACCATTTTACGGATAACAATCTAGTACTACATTTATTTTTGCATACCACTTCAATGTAAATGCATAAATATACTAGAATTACTTAATTGATATTTAGGTGGAGCCGTGATTTTGCGCCTAAAATAGCAAAGGGTTGCTCCCACCGTGGCCGCATGCGTCACAGATGAGTCTTGGCGCGTGATCCTGCACCTGTGTGCCCCCCGCGCCCCTTTCACTTGTATTTTGAAATAAAAAGATTTATACTCGCTTAAATAATGCGTGTTGAATAGAGTCCGGCATTAGGGCCGTCCGGCGTTACGGGACTTCTCCCTATTAACAACGATATTTGAAAGTAAAGCCATCGTCTTAAATTGGCCGGCATTGCTACCACGAGATAAAAGGCCACATTGTCAATTTTGTAACAAAATTTATTTTTTATTGTTAATCTTTTTGCTTTTATGCACGGTTGTTTAGTTTACGATACCTGAATACAATTTTTGAATATTCATTTGGTTCATAAGACGTATTGTTATTTTTAAGCTAGATTGACCAGTTTTTTTAAAAACTTTAGAAAAGCTTACATATGGCCTACAGCATTCCATAAAACTTCCTTAAAAATAAAATGGTGGTTTTTCCCTTTTTGTACCGCTTGTGAACAAAGAATAATAAAATCATAAACAAAGTAAAATACTTCAAAAGTAGCTCCATATGTCCTCTGTAATCCGTAATTACAAACGTATTAGTTTTGTCCATAATGCCGAGAATCTCGAACTGCTTCAACATGTCTACTTTCAAATATTGTTGTTAAAAAAATTTTAACTTTACTTGTTTTTGAGATATCGGCGGAGGACCTTTTTACCTACTGATCGCTTCAGAGAACACAAACCTCATCTCGTTCCAAACCGATTATATAAGTTAAATCTACAAATCATTAACTACAAGTGATTAAAAATTATTCAACAATTAATTACCTTCCATAGAATTCGTCAGCAGATCTTCGCCTTCTTGCAAGCTGTGTCGTAGCTTCCACGCAAAGTAGTACAAAGCGATTGTCACAAGAATACCTCTCTTGTTTCAACAGCTGATGACTTAGTAAGCTGCCGGCGAGACCCACCTTGCTCGCTGAGGCGGAATGCCAGGCGTCGCAGTAGGCATTATGATTAAGTTCACCACGTAAACTGGACCCATGCCAGGCGACTTTTTGAGGCCTGTTCGATATGGAATAATTTGTATTTATTTAACTCATAAATTACTTTTTTAAAATTATTTTTCTAAAAAAAATCAACAAATTTCTTTAAAATGTACCAAATTCTTTAAAAAATTCATTTTGTTGATAGCTTCAAGTGCTTTTCTAAGATCTGAACTTTCAGAACTGATACCATGGACAAGTGTTTCAAAGTTGATGAATACATATGAACAATATGAATCATAAGCTAATCCAGCACAAAACTTAAAACATTTTTCAATAATTCATTTTATTACTTCAGAATATATATTTGTCTTCAGCCGTTAGTTTATTGTCTTTAACAGTTAACTAGTATTGCTGGCCTTTGCATTCTCGTCATTTGTGAATTAATTTGGAATTGATACTTTAAATTAAATCTAACCATTATATAATTATTGGTATGAAAATATTGATTTTTTAGAAGACAAGCTTGCTAAAAACATGCTCCCGCTTAAGTCGTACCCCGACTATATAGTATTGATAATTATAAAACACCATTTGGTAATATTAAATTAAACTACTCTGTTGACTAATTTTAAGTATATGTTTACAATTGAAATACAGTCCGACTTTGTTATATAAAAAATAATCAAGAAGTAATTGAAAGTAGTGTGTTGTAAAGTGCTACTAAGATTTTGAACTTAGCTGTAAGGTTTTTACTTCAATAATATGATTCTGAAATCGCCTACTAAGGTTTATTTATATTATATCACTTAATTGGCAATCGTATTTATACGAGAAGTATTCGAAATTTAAAATACAAGCTTCCGACATTACCTTGAAAAATTTTACCATTTAAATATACTTATAAGTATATTCAAATGGTAAAATTTATCAAGGTACTAATATTAACAAAATATAAGTACATATTTTCAAAAATATACCAAACTGAAAAAACATAAATAATAACATAAAACGTAAATGAATATAATATATAATTTATGTGAATCTTTATCGCTTTAATATATATTTTTAATTACAATATTTATTACAACTGTTAAATAATTTACCATCTAGTAATAATAATAAAATCGCTTTAATATGAATAAAGTAACTAATAACTTCCCCTAGGGTAAGTTATTGTAATCGTCCAAAAAAGGATTTGAATGGCTCAAAAAAATATTCGATTTCAATTGATAGAGAGGTACGCATTAATACGGAGCAAAGAGTGTGGAAAATACAAATCGTGTTTTTGAGAGAACGAAATATCCGACATGAATGATCCAAAAAATATTCAATTTGTAATGATGGAAAGAAGTGGTTAGATTTTGGCAAAGACAGGTCTAGCCGTTTCGAATATATGAAACTAAATATGCAAAAATGGCACTACGCATCCGATTGGAATGATTCCAAAAACTTTTCTGCTTGTGGTGAGGAAACGATTGCTTTTGGGAGGAGGATTACTTTTCATTTTTTTGTTTGAATTTCCAAAAAATATTTTTTTCACTAAATTTTATTCTTCGAATCCATAAAATTGAATGACATTATAGTGCGGGAAGATCCAGCAATTCGCCATACACCACTTGTTTACTTAATCGTTATGATTAGGGTTCATACAAAAACCGACATTTCAGAAAACCGGTTTTCGAATTTGAATTTTTCTAAAAAAACGGTTTTAACCGGTTTTCGAATTTTATATCTTATCTTATATATAAAAATGGATCGCAAAATGTGTTGGTAAGCGCATAACTCAACAACGCCTGGACCAATTTGGCCAATTCTTTTTTTAAAATGTTCGTTGAAGTCCAAGGATGGTTGTTACGGCGAGAAAAAAACGAATAATTGCCGGGAAAACCCTAAAAACAGCCCTTTTCTTCTTTAATCGAGTAGGCAACGCAATTTGTAAAAAAAACAATGATCTATGTCATGACATTTTGTGTAGTTTTTGATAATATAATTTTGAATATATTTATATGAACATAGAAATATCTTTCTATTAATCAAGCTATATTGGCAGCCAAAAACATTGATGTAAATTAATTAAATTTCAAAATTCAAGAATAAATTACAGGCGAATCAGTTGATTCGGCAACTAATCAAGACGATCCACCGGAGTTTTTAAACTCGCTGGATTTGCTAGGATTGTCACCTCACAATCTTCAATTAAAGGTTGGATCGGCAATTATAATGTTGCGAAATATCGACCAACTATATTCAAAGGATAGTATAAAGCAGAAGATGTTCTCGCACCATGCATCCCAATGCGTTTCCAGTGCGTTTATGGTATCATTAAGTGTTTGTGGTATTAATTTAGAAAACCCATGCTTCTCACATGGAAAATTGTATGTTGTTTGTTTCCGTATTGGAAAACTATCAGATTTGTTTGTCTATGCGCCAGGTAATCAAACAAAAAACATCGTTTATCACAAAGCACTACAATGAAAATTGAACTGATTTTTGAATTATGATTTACATTATTAAAATTACTTACTTTTAAATGCTTTTAGTGTTTTATTTAATTATTTTTAATTTACACCGAATTATTAACAGGGTGATGGTTCTGTTCAGGATAATTTTTTGCAAAGAATAGAAAAAAGATAGGCACAAAACACCGCCACATTACAATTTTTTTTGACAGGACGAAGTCTGTCGGGCCGGCTAGTATAAAATAAATTTTTGCTCAAATATTGTGTAATTTATCCGCAAATTTAGTGTAATTTAGAGCAGTATTTGACTGAATTTTTTTATTGTTCAATTTTATAGATAGTAAACAAAATTATTTTAATTTTAATTAGTAGAACTAAAAAATAATAGTTTATCTTGGTTAAATAACTTTGAAAATAATTATTCGTTGTTCATGCATCACTTACACATATAATAATGAAAATAGTTTTATGATAGTGAAAGGAAAGTTTTCGAATAAATAAAAATAATACATTTTTAAATAAAAAAATGCATCAATTTAAAAAAAAATTAGATACATGTTGATACATACTTGTTAATATCAATTTTAGTTTTAAAAATAATTAAGTTAAACTCGGGTATTGTCTGTTCCAAGCAATTTTAATTAATTAATTTTAAACATTCTAATTGTTTTTTGTTTAATAAAGTATGATTTTAAAAAACTGAGAACGTGTATCAAATTGCTACTTAGACAAGACCTTTATTGTTTCTAACAAAATTTTCTGAAATAGAAAATACTCTCATACTGGCGACCAAATTATGCTTCATTGTTTTTAAAGCCTGATATAACAATTTTAATTCTTTTAATTATTTAATTTTTTTAAATTCTTTTAATTTTTGTTCTTTAATTTGTAGCTTCTAGGGTTTAAAACTCTGTTTTTAGTTTGAGTAGAGGAAGTTACTTCTTTTAGAAGAAATTGCACTGATTTAAATTAATGTATACACTAGTATAAAAATTTAAATTAATATATACAAAACCTTTCTGGGAACCATTGTAGACTGATAAGATATTAAATGCTATTGAACCGATATGATTTCAAGTATCAAAACGCTTTCATCTATCTTTTATATTTGGCTATATTTGTCATTTTCATTTATACAGTAAAAACCGATTTTTTTTACTAAAAAACCGGTTTTTGAATTCTATAATTTTCGCCAAAAAACGGTTTTTAAAACCGGTTCTTGAAAACCGACAAACCCTATTATGTATATTGGTTTGTACTTTGTTCTGTTAATTTTTTTACAGCAAGAATTATAAGAAGATAATATATTTTTTCCACAATATTCAATAAAACTCTATTTAAAAACCAGTTCTAGTTCGCGCGATAGTCTAGATTGAAAATGTGGTTCCTTGATTTTCTCAGCCATTGTTTAACTAACAATGCAATACAATCACATTCAGAATATACTTATTCTCAGTTAGTTTATGGATCATGCAAGAAAATATAAAAACTAAAATCATTTTTATACTAACCAGGTAGAATCTTTCATAACATCTTTGCCCGAAAAGCTATATATTCTCGGAGTCTGCGCGAATATCGCACCACGTCCATCAAACATTTGTCTCCATGAGTGGAACATAAGTCTCCAGTGTATTGACGACTGGTAAGCTCGGTCGGCTCGTCTGACTATGCTGTCCAGGTCTTGTTGGGTTGACGCCAAACATAGCACGGAATGTACTGCGTAAGCCTGCGTATTGCGCCTGGCGATAGCAGGCATAATCTGCCTCCGTGGATACGCCAGAGTCACCGGTGTAAGGTTCATTCAAAGCTGCTATACGGAGCTGAGGTGATAAACAAAGAAAGAATGTTGATAAAGGAGAAATTATAAAGAACATGGTACACAGGCTAAGGATAAAAAAATCGTTCTGAAATTATAAAAATTATACTATATTCCATAAGTACGCTACTTTTCGCCCGCTATGTGACAGCGATGCATGCAAAAAACGCGAAAAATAAATTTATAATATATTATTTCATCTAAAATTTTTATTTCATAAAAAATCTAACTTAACTATGAATACGGAGACACAAAAAGCATATTTATTTGGCCATGTGATATCAGTTGAAACAATTAAATGATTCATAATAACAGCTGAAAATTAGTAAATAACATCTCTATTTATTGCTAATCTACTTATTCAATTTTTCTCTGTTTGCAGTTATCGTCAAGTCAAAAAACAAAATATCTTGTTCAATCTCATAATCTCATAAGCGCAAACCAGCGAAAGATTAAATTAACTATTGGGCATTATTGACAAAAAATTATATAGGGATTTTAGTTTATATAAATAGATATTTCAACTTTGCTCATAAATATTTTTGCCCAAATACCAGATCAAGGTTTTATACAGTTATCTCTGCAAAAATGTACCCATAGAATTTATATTTGGCATTGGTTTAATAAAGTAACTTTTATTTCATAATAGTTTTAAAAATTATAATAAGGCATTGGATCTGTTCGTCCCATAGCTGTTTCATTATACCTCGCCGGATAAAAGTTGCAATATTGAAGTTGTAATATTGAAGTTATTAAATATTGTTGTAATATAATTGGTTTGGTTTTCACAATATAATTATTCTAAGTCAAATTGAACATGTATGTCCCGCCACATTTATGAGTTTTTTTGAGTGTTTTCTAAAATTTGTCATATGTCTCTTTTTAATCAGTCTACGAGGTGCAGCCAAGAGGTGAACAGAATCAGAGATCATATCTACGGCATAACAGACCAATGTCATGGCAAGGCTATGTTATGAAGAACTTTCCATACAAATTCGTTCTAAATATTGACAAAAGCCATGTGGTTGCTGTGCAGTCTGGCGACTTTCTCAGGTTATCAGATAGAAAACATAGCCTAGAAACCGCACAAATGTCAGAAAAACGATGTTAGATATCAGGGTCTTTCTGACTCAAATTCATAACATACGAGTGACGTTGCAGTTTATGTGTAAAACGCTTGAATGCCCAGCACATACATGACATTTTGACAGTATTCAGTATAATTCAATAGCATAATTAATGGAAGTTGGAGCGTAACATGGCCTTGCCATGAGCGTAACATTTGTTTGTTAAGCGGCAGAATCGGTCCCTCAATATCAATATCAAAGAGACTTTACGAAATAATATCTACATTATTCAACCATTGCAAAATTTAAAATTTCTAGGAACTTTTCACACATAGATATAACTTTTATTAGGTACTAGATGACCCGACAGACGTTGTCCTGTACCCATGTCTACAATTGTTTAATATAATATACTAATATTTACTGTTTATCTAAAAATAATAATTATTGTTTTTTAAATTACTCTTCTTGCCAAAATGTATATACATTTATAATATGAGCGATGTTAAATGTAGAACTGCTTTAAATGAAATGATGAGTCTTAATTCCCACACTATATTGGAAATTGAAGTCTTTTAAATAATATAACATAACCATAGCCATAACATGACACTGTACTTCATGTTGGATTAAATTAATTTAATTTTTTGATATCCAAAATTGCATCTTAAACTTCTAATCGATGTCGTGAGGGCCGAATTGTATGTATTCATCTTAACTTTCCATTTGTTGTTATAAAGTGAAATTTTTACGAATTTTAAAAAGATTGTGAAAAGATTAATAAAAGATGCAAAGAAATTATATATGAAAAAATAACTATATATTTAAAATTTAATATCCGAATCTTGTGTTGCCTTCAACAAACATTTTAAAAAAAGAATTGGCCAAATTGGTCCAGGCGTTGTTGAGTTATGCGCTTACCAACACATTTTGCGATTCATTTTTAATATAAGATTTTGTCAGAAATATTTATCAGCCAGTTGAAACAACTATTTATTTAATATATTTCTTCTAAAACTGCTTTTTTAACTTCATTCATTTTTTTATTTACTAATTTCTTAATCATTTACACATTGCCAAGGGTAAAAGTGCAGTCGTTTCTTGCTGCCCCAACCGGAAGCTTATAACTTAAACATTATAATACAACTCATAACCAAAAAGACTAACATCGATAGAAAATACTTTTGTTCCAGATTTTCAAACATGGTCGTATATCTACTAATAGCGATGTTACATTGATCAATTGCAATTGCTGATTACACATCTTTTTCTTTCAATTTTCAAATATTGTTGTTTAAAAATTCCAAACTTTACTTGTTCTTGTTTTATTGGTCGTGGGCCGTTTTACCAGTGGACCTTTAAGCCAAACTCTACTCTATATATGATCAATTGCAATATAAGTGAAAAAACATTTACTGCCCATAGGCCAAATAACATAAATTGCAAAAAGAAAATGAAATTCGTTTTACATGTTTTACATTTCTTTACCTGTCATCGCTTTCATCTCATTTTGATATGTCTTGCACGCGGACGTAATATCTATATATATGCAATTATGTTTGAACACAATGTTTGTCTACGTTTTAGATAAATAGATCAACAGATTTAAATTATTCAGAACATTCCATTTGTACTAATGGTAGTTTTAGTTTTAAAAGTATTCTTTGGCGGCTAAAAGAGTTAGATGTTTTAGAACTATTTACAATTAGTTAATGATGTGTATTAAAGACTGTTAAGAAATTAAGTGTAATAAACTGTTGGGCGGCTTGCTGACTGTACAGCGGCGTCACTCCTCGCAGCGAAAGAATTTTTTAACGCCAAACAGGCAAATTAATAAAAGTTCAATATGTATAAAATGCAATTAAAAAACATTTTCGTAATAAAGTTATATTTTATTTAAAATATTTCAACATAAGCATGAATTTACGTACACATCAGTTTAAACTAACAAAATTTACACAGGTATATTCTAAACACGTAAATTCAGCGACTTTCGCATTTATTCCTATGTCATGAATTATTTACAGATGCGATTTAATAAGAGTATGATCACATGTCTAAGACTAAAAATCAATAATGTGAAGCGTCAAACTTCTATATATAAATGTTTTTATATATAATTTTCAGGTTAATTCATTTGTATAGGTAACGCATTTTATTGATTTAATCTTCATACTGAAAATCTTGTGAGTACGAGTCCATCTGCAGCGTCCGATTTAAAATATATAAATTAATAATATTATTTTTATGCATGCTAGGGTATAGGAATGCAAACTATTTCAAAATATTCTGTATCTCAAAATATACTGTAATTTATATCAAGATTTACGAAAAAATTCAATGTTAAGGAAAATGTATTATGGAAGAAATTTATTTTACAAATACTATTTATTTACTGAATTTTCAATATGGCGTAGTACTTACCAGTTTACGAATCCACTATTCCATTAATGGGAGAAATAAATATGTTTAATTAATATAATTAATACATATGAAACCATTAATTTTATTTAAAGGTCTATTATATTATATATATATATATATATATATATATATATATATATATATATATAAATTGAAAAGAATTCAGCTAGAGCCACATGTTTGCATTTCTATCCATCCACATTGACTTTTGGCGAAAATCAATACTAAACATCTAGATATCAGTGGACATATATTTCTGATGATATGATCAAGTTATATTTCACATTGCATTATTATAATATAGATTTTATTAAAAATAAAATATTAGTTTATGATGTTCATAATTTTGTAAAATTCTTGTTCTGCATGTAAACTATTATAACATTTAATTCGATCATTTTTTTATTCGTCTAAAAGTAATTCATTGCAATTGTATTAAGACAAATGTTAATTATGTCCAATGTAACATGAGCTTTAACCCGGTGTCAATGACGCTGGGTCATAATGACCCGAGACGTTTTTTAACGAACATATATTTTGTTTACCCGGGTTATGTGGTTTAAGCGTTTGAGTAGCTGAAGCGATGCCTCCCCGCTACCCGCCCCGATGGTTCGCTCAGTGCGACGCCGCCCGCGCAACGAGCAACTCGTGCGTCAAGTCCAATCGGGTATGTTTGACCCAGCGTCATTGTAAATGTAATATTTTCGTGACATACTTTTATTTTCTATTTAGTGATTATAGTGACATATTATGTGACCAATTTAGAAATATATAGCGGAAAGCAGCCAAGTGGCCCATACTCACTCAGCAACAAACCTTTTGACGTTGTAAATCGCGTCGTCTTGCCCGTTTCTAAAAGCCATCGTAACATAACATTCGACAATTGGTTCACGAGTTATGAATTAGTATCTCACCTCCTAACGGAACATAAACTTACAGCAGTTGGAACCTTACGCAAAAACAAACGGCAGATTCCACCTCAATTCATTACAACACGTGGAAAATGTCCAGGATCATCTACCTTTGGACATCAAAAGGACATAACTCTAGTCTCCTACATTCCAAAGAAAAATAAAGTTGTCTTATTGATGTCCAGTCTACATCATGACGAAAAAATTGATGAGTCTACAGGTGACAAAAGGAAACCAGACATCATATCCTTTTACAATCACACCAAGAGTGGAGTGGATGTAGTGGACAATCTTTCTGCGTCATACAACGTGAGTAGAAACACAAAACGATGGCCATTGACTATCTTTTTTGCAATGCTAAATATATCGGAAATAAACGCAAACATAATATACCGGGCTAATAATGATGATACACGCATGAAAAGAAGACATTTCCTAAAAAATCTGGGACTCGCCATGGTGCAGGAACATTTACAAGTGCGACGAGCTCGAGTGAATTTACCACGTCAACTGCGCAAAAGAATCGCACAATTCACAGGTGAAACCACAGATGAACCACCTCGAAAGATTCTAGGCGTTCGCAAGAGATGCCAAATATGTCCGTCCAAAAAAGATAAGAAGACAAGTCATACCTGTCATGAATGTCAAATTTATATATGCCCTGATCATTTTATTACCTACTGCAATAATTGTAGTAGTTCGATGTCAGTAAATGAGGAAATAGAAGACTGATTGGCATTTATAATTAAAAATAACTTAATTTGATCTCTTTTTTAGTATTATAAGATGTTTGTTACCAATGATTATTAACATTACTTAAACCAAACTTATAATTAACATATGTTGTTTGTTCAAAGTTGATTTTGCATGTCTTGTTAAGTATGTCAATAAAAGTTTAATTATTATATATTAGTTTTATTTTATTTATTTTTATGCAGAAATACCTTTATTTAGTAAACATTAATTACAATTTAGTAAAAGTATATATTTTTATTATAAATCCTCAATAAAACGTCGGGTCAAAATGACCCAACGTCATCGTTCTTGCAATTTTTTTCGCGTCATTGGCGCCGGGTTAAAACATGAGTATTTTTTAAAACAATTTTCAAATTTCAATTGAAATTTTCGATTTGATGCTAGGTATTCATATAATCGGTATGAATTTGATATTATTACGGGAAGGGAAAAGATAAAAACTATTTTTTATAATATGGATTTTGGTCTATCGGTATTTTGTAGAGAGATCCTGGTCGTTTTGGTCAAAAAAAATTCGAATTATTTCGATATTTGAATTTATATCTTCAATTTACCGGCCAATTTTGCAGTAAAATAGGCCATAGTTAGAGCAAGCTGCATTTCTCATTGAAAATGGTACTATAAGCTGTCAAAATCCTATGCATTTACTGTGCGATCAGGCGTATTACACATACCATCTAACCTCTTGCATATATTATTATGATACATCAGGAATATGCACTTCTGATACAATTCTTTTTTTGACGTTTCCAGGTTAGGTTTTCATCTAAAACGTCTGACTGCACACAGCAGTCAAATATCATTTTCACAGTTTTCAGTACCATTTTATAAGAAAAACGCAATTAATCTTATCCATAACATTTGTCTATTTTACGACAGAATTGGCCGGATAATCTTATCAAAATTATATTCTACAGATAATTTTTTTGATGAATATATAAAAAAGGACATACTGGCAGAAACAGATACAAATATTTTATTATTTTAATTATTGAATAGTTTAATAGAAAAGTTTAATAGCGATGACTAATCTAATTTTAGAAGGAATACGGAATAATTGTAGTTTTAGTAAAAATTTTACAAAAAGAATACTTATTAAAACAAGCGACGATGTTAGTAATATGTATTAAAAATTAATTATTTACAACATATGCCTACCTATCGCGAAATTAACTGCAATATCTATTTTATTAGATAAATTGCAGTATTTCAAACATTTAACGGAACTTAATAACGGAATAGCGGAATAGATTAGTAGTAATGAAACACACGAATAAAATATATATGTGATGGGTTTATATTTCAAGTGACGCTAGTTAATATTAGAAAAAGAAATAAAGCAAAATCGTATTTTCATTCCTTAAAAATATCGTTACAAATAAATGCGCATAAATCAAAATGAATCAAATATTAAACTTACCGCTGTTCCAGGTGCGTTGTACCCACTTGATGGTTGTATTAAATTTGAAGCTTGTGGCGGTTGCCAAATACTTTCTGTCGTTGTTGATTCGGCAGGACCTTTCAGTGGTATCAGTTGACCCATCTGCAGATGAATAATTAAGATATCGTGAACACAAAATGAAAATAACAAACATTTCCTGTTTATGATATTTAATTGCATGTAAAATGTGTGCGTACGATCCATAATATTTTTCAATTATTTTATTTCTAAATCTAATTCTCTCTTAAATTCGCCTATTCTAACTATGTACTCCAACAATGATGTTAATATTCATAACTGTACCTCAAATAATCTCCATCTGCTCAATTTAACCTTTATATTTCTTTTCAAATGCGTTTTATTATTTTATCTTACATATTAATTAAATTATTACGTTCTGTATTATGCTATGTTGTGTTTTTAAGTGCATTATGTATTATACTACATATCTATATTATATGTATAATAATTGTATTTTTAACTTTTCTTGAAACTATTGTATGGGCCATGCGTTAAAAAAATAATAATAATGATGCGATATAATCTATACAATATAAACCTAAAAAATTCCAAAAAAATAATCTACGGATATCTTTGTTTCTGATTTAGTTAAGGGGGCGATTGATAGTATGATAACTCTATTATTAGGAGTTGGTCGCAATTGATATAAAATCATCTACAACTTTCTGAAATTTTAATCATTCTACGCATAATCAATTTTATATTTTTTGAAGTTCTAATTATTAAATCATATCAGTTGATTGACAACAATAATATAAATCAAATTCAATCAAATCAAATCAATTAATTGAAGTTAAATTTATATAGTAGGTACAGAAATTAACTCATACAAATTTCAAGAAAAAATATAGAAATCTCATCCGTAGATTTCAGGAACATACATTTTTATATTTATTGAATAACTTTTCTGGACCAATAAATTAATAATCTATCTCTAACTTATGCCGATAGAAAAGTTAAAATCTTTTGATGTTATTCAATTTACTCTACTAAAAGCTAATAAATATAACAAAATGTAGAATTTTACTGATGTCTCTATTGTGTCTTGAGAAGAATTTAATATTTTGTATCCACTTTTGAATTCACTTCGTCGTAACATGAGCTTTCAAAAAATATTATGAAATAAAACTTTCTATTTAAAAAACGTAATCTTTAGAAAAACACTAAAAAGATTTAAATTGATCTTAAATTTTATCATTTGCTATACTTTTATTATTAAAATATCTGTTCGCGTCATCTATGATTGCGGGAGTTACCTACAACAAGATTCAAACCTAAAAAACGCCCTCAGTTTTTGTTGAAACCCCTAACACAAAAGAAAATTACTAAATTGTGGTTCTGTTTAACAATAATTTCATTTATAAACTATATAATTCCAGAACTAACCATATTTTCTACTGAAAAGCAATAATCATTTCTTCCAAGTAGAACAATACATAATAGTTTGTATCATAATGACAAAATTGACAAAAAGTTTAAATATGTAAGTTGCAGTAAATGTTTCGCACATATATTAATAATTGTGCTTATAAAATTTGTATGAAACTAAAACGTATAATAATGAAATATGTCTGTATGTTAGGAATTTTAATTCAAATTACTTACCACTAAATATTGCCATCCTTTATTTACACGAACAAGCACTGCTTCTTCATCAACGACATAAGCTATTGTTCCAACAGGGCTGGTTGCCGAATTCTGTAAAGATATAATAATTTGGTAAAAAATCATATAAAATATGTCAGAGATATTTCGATTTAATCAATTTTATTGCAAGAGATAGCATCATAATATATAAAGCTACATAATACATTTTGATCATAATTTAATCATTTCCATGTGTATGTCAGTGGTGTTCCGTGTGCCAAAAAAATTTATATATATTTCTTTGAAGACATGAACACACTATACTCCTTCACGTTTAAATTCATGATTAGTATTATACCATCCGAATATGACAATTTCAAATCCAAGTCAAATAACGCAAACCGATTTTGAAAATTCTAAAACGATACCAGTTACGGATTGTTGAAAAAAATGTTTTAGACGACTTCAAGGAAACTTGGTATTGTGATAGAGTTCATGCTCTTTGAACAATTAAATAAAACGATTATAAATATGAGTTTAGTAGGTTTGAAAAAAAGCCTTTAGTATAATATATTCCTGTAAGTTAAACAGTTAAAGAAAGAAAAATATGATGAAAATATTTAAATTTCATATAAATCAATCATTATATCCATAAAATATTTCTATAACTGACCATTACTTGATACGAGGTCTGTTCAAAAAGTACCCGGAATTTTCGTTTTTTCAAAAAAATATTTATTTATTCGTCTACATTAATGTGGTCCCCTTCAAAGTATTCCCCCCCGAGATATAATACACTTATGCCAGCGTTTTTTCCAATTTTCGAAGCACCCTTGATATTCACTTTTTGATATGTCCTTGAGCACTCTCAGCGATTTTCTTCAATCGAGGAAAACCGCCGTCCTTTCATGGGTCTCTTCAACTTTGGGAATAGGAAAAAGTCACACGGAGCCATATCTGGTGAATTTTTGCACTTTGCAACACTTTATTTCATTTTTTACGCAAAATTTAATACAAATTCTTTGACTTTTCAATTCTTCCATTGTAAAAATCGCCGAGCTCAGAAAAACACGTCGAACCTTAGCGACTACCACAGACAAAGTAAACAGTGAATATAGCTGAAAATTTCATCATACTTTAGGGGCATGTATACCAACACAATAAAAAAAAAATTTGACAATCAGACACTCCAGACCCGCGAAATTTAATTATTAGTAATTCCGGGTACTTTTTGAACACACCTCGTATATAGAATATACTTCTATAAATTTATCTATCATTTTTCTTATTTAATTATTTCATAACTGATAAATGAGATGTTTATTTTACTTCTTGGAAAAAGTAGTTACTATTAAAGAAGCGTATTGAATAACATTCTTGTTTGAATAACGAAGTTAAAATCCTAGTTACGTCATGTGTATATATTATATTCAAATTTATTATATATGGAACTTATGTATGGAGGATTTAAAGACAATTTGTAATATTTAACAATCAAATAAGGTTTGCACTTCGTTTTATGAAAATGTATCCATTGAAATCCGCAAGACAGTCCACATTTGTCGTTAAACCTAAATGAAAATTGTATTCAGAGCATTCAAATTTTGGAACTTTATTACTTATTTGCAAAGTTATCTCTTATCAGCAAAAAAATGCCTCAACATCTTTTCGCACATCTTCTACATATAAAGTTATATTTAGCTGGTTTTTTATTTTGCAATTGTTTATATACCTCTTTGTGAGTTTGATGCACTTTTTTCTTTTTCTCAGTATCAATAATATTTATTCGTTGTCGAGGAAATACTATTACATTTTCATCGGACTTAAAATCTAATAAGGAAGCAGAAATCTGCTGTTTCTGTATGATTTTTGAATTCATATTTTGGGTAGCTAACGTATAAATCTGATAACAAAATAAAGCTGAAAGTAAATGTGACGAGTGAATGTGACCTCAAAATTACAAGACTGTAAGGTTGAAGATCCGAGCAAATGTTATAAATATATTGATATTGCTTAGATTATTAATAGTAATTGAATTTTTTAAGAAAAGTTCAATAAATTGGAATATAATTTAAAAGTTACACGGGCCCATAGAGAGTTAAATGAACAAACTTTCAAAAACCTAAATATATCATATATATAATGGACATGTTTTGCTAGACATAGTGGAATAAATATATTTTCAGTACATTTCACTTTTAGAATCATCCGTTGACGTAGGCTTGATATGAGTTATCATATCCTAACTCGTGATGAGGGTATTCAAGTTGGAATATGACATGAACAATTTACATTGAATGGGATTTCGCTGATGTTTTATTGAGGGCCAATATCTGAACTTGATTTGATATAAATATAGATTTCATGAATTTCTATAATTTTAAATACAAAAGCTTGACCTAGTTATATTTTAATTTTTGATGTAATTGATGTCAAAAGTTAAATAAACCATACTGAATCGAATCAAAATGTTACAAACATGCAATAAAAACAGTAGTGGTTCTTGTCTATCCATGAGTATAGATTGAAATATAATTGAAATTTACCTATCTATAAATCTATTCAGTAATTGCTATGCACATTTCTAGTACTTTTTTTTTTGACTGATAACCTAAGTGTTTCAGAATCAGAATACTAACATTCTTAAAAGATTATATTATAATCTTAGAATATAAATTTTATTACTAAAGAAATAACTTTTGGTTTCAATTTTGTTTGCTACATTTATTATGAGTTGTAGAAGCTCTATAATTTCTCTAGATCACGAAATCGCCAAAATAAGAGTTAAAACATTATCGCTTAATCTCCAATTAGTTAGTTATTTCTGTTCTAAATTAGCATGCCGACTTACAAATTCTTCAAAATTACGTAAATTAAAATAATTATTCAATAATTTGTAAAAGACAGCCTTTTAAAGTCGATCAATTTTAAATTCATTCTTTAACAAATAGTCTTTACTCTAGAAAAGTTTCGGCAAATATGCTATTATTTTTTACAGTGATTCTAGAAAAGTTAGTTATTCTCGGTTTCATTATTTATATGAACAAAAATAATAAAAATAAATGAAAAATGACAAAATTGTCTAACTGAAGCTTATTTTGTAGTATTATAGTTTTCTTCAACTTTCCGAAGAAGCAGTTTATGTTTTTGCCGAAAAATCCGAACTTCTACTTTTACCTTTTCTCGACATTTCAAGTCATTCCGAAACGATTGAGAAAGAGTATGTTTGTATTTGTGTATGGGCCATCTTTTGACATTCCACGTTTTCTGAAAAACGGCTGAACCGATTTCTTTTTTTTCAATATTTAAAGAATATTGGATTAGATTCTATTAGTCACGATTAAGTTTGCAAGACGATCGTCTAAGCCATTTATTTGAAATCATTAAAAAGTGCTTTTTTGTAACAAATTTCGAAAAAATCTTGCAATGTCAAGTTTTTGGATTTGTGCATAGTTTATAGAAATTATTTAAGAATTTTCTAAATAGATTTCTGTGTCGCTTAACAAACAGTTTACAACATTTTTCTAGTTGTGTAAAAATGTTTCGTTTCATTTGCATTATTGAATAATATCAAGAACTACGCACATGATATACATCATCGTGCCAGTGTTTTCTCATTCCATATGCTTGATAATTCACAAAATAATTAAGATCCTTATAAAAAATGTTTTAACGTTTATGAAGAGATTCAACAGTCCAAAATTGGTTAAATTATATGCATTCATTAAAATTTGGAATAATAAGCGGCACTTTTAAAAAATACAAGCTCGTGTTTGTGCATTATACTTAATATTTTATATAAGTAATTGCATATAATATAAATGTGTGTGAGATATATAAATTGGAAATCGCAATGTTTAATTTTTAGTGGAAGCGAAAACTTCGAACTTCGAAAAATAAACAGTTAAAATTTTTAACTAAATATCTGAATCTCAATGTCGGCTGATATATCAATTATTACAACTATCGATTTTTTTCCAACTTGCTTTAAGTTAAAATACCACTTTCAATTAGTTATTTAAAGAATTATGACCCACATCAACGTTTACATCATATGGACAATTGTCATAATTTTAAAAAAAAGTAAAACTACAAAAATCAGCAGCTAGACGCCGCGATAATCAGTACTGCAAGATTTAACAAACTGACTCACATGATATAAAATTCCAGCAAGTATTCGAAATGAATATCTCGATGATGCTCAACAAGAAGATTGTTCTATCAAAAACGACCGGCTAATTACATCTATGAACTATTTTCTCACATCGTTCTTTGAGAAAATGCAGTCTATATATAATTTAAACAGAATTCCCTCACATAGTAATTGTTTAACGTACCTGTTGCATGACGTCTTGGTTGGGAAACGTGAGCGCTCCGGGCACTATTCGGATGCCCCCGTCATCCGATGAGCCTGGAGGACCTGGTGGACCTGGCGGACCAGGAGGACCTTAAATGGAAATCGTAATAATCAAATAATATTTCATATATAATTTACATCTTAAATATATAAAAGTTTGGATATAGTAATTCGTAGCAATGGATTTTTAATATAAGGGGAAGTCCCCGAGTGCTAAAAAATCACTAATTATCCACTCTTTTGCCTGGGTCACACCGATGCTCTAAGCTGGAGCATTCATCATAAGATTTTCATTCTTTGACTAGAAAATACGAAAAATGGAGGTATGTAGTGACCGTTAGCACTCATACAGAACATAATTAAATAATTAGAATAAATTACATCAATTCTCACAAGAAATATCAATATGTTTACTTCCGGCGCTAAGGGACGACTTAGTGTCCGGTGCTAAGAGACAGACAATTTCGTTCATTTGGTGGTGCCTACTAAAATTGTTCAAAGTATCTAATAATATTCTACCATTTTACTGATAAAAATCAAGTACTACTTTTATTTTTGAATGCCACTAGAATATAAATGGATAAATACACTAGAATTACTTCCATTGATATTTAGGTGACGCCGTGTTTTTGAGCCTAAAACAACAAAGGGTTGCTCGCGCCTTGGACCTGTGTGCACCCCATGCCCCTTTTACTTTCATTTTGAAATAAAAATATTTATACTCGCTTAAATAATACGTGTTAAATAGAGTGTCCGGCTTTAGGTGCCGTCCGGCGTTACGGGACTTCCCCCTACTTGTCTATCGAAATTACCATGTGTAATTCAGAAAGTTTGATCGTTAAAACTAAAAAAACACACAAAATTAACACATTGTTACATCAAAACATTAAAAAAAACTTTGAAAAAACTAGACATGCTGACATGCGGCAACTTTCCGTACTGCAATTTAAAATTGTGAAAATTTTCTAATTTTTCGAAATTTGTTTTTTTTCGCAAATTTGCAAATTAAAATAAAATCGACTTTTTTGAAAAATTGTCTAATTTAAGTCGGTTGTTCCATAGTGTCGTATATATAGAGGAAATTTCAACTTTATAAGTGAGCTCTATTCATTTAAAATCTTGGTACGGAACCCAAAGAACAAAAAAATTGAACTTATTATAAAATCTCTATAAAATATTTGATAATTTGATGTGCATTCGTCTAATAATCATTTTTTCTGGGTCTCCGAAAATGCTGGTTCTGCATTCACAAAAAAAATTTCAGTTATTCATTCCATCAATGTAGGTGAAATGTTCTTTGTATAATTAAAATTGGAAGCCCCATTCTATATCTTCGAACCAGGTTTAACCAGGTTAAACCTGATGATGGAACGTACCTAGTTCCGAAACGTCGTATTAAACATCTTCAAAAAACAAATTGTTTTTTTATTATTGGATTTACTGTTCGGAAAAGAAACAATCAATATATTGAAAAAATCCAGGACTTATCTATTGAATATATATATATATATATATATATATATATATATAAAATAACATCTCTAGTAAAATTTATATCTCAAATAATTAAAGGGGTAATTTAATAAATTAATATAATAATTAAAGGGGGAAAATTAATAAATTAATCAATAAATGAATGTAATAGTGAATTAATTTCAAAAGAATGAAAAACAAATTAATGTTGTAAGTTTAATTTGCGACGACACGAATTGCTGCCGGAGCGGCGGCATCCGAGCGGAACGGTAAAACATATCATGCCGCCGGAGCGGCGACATCCGAGCGCAACGGTAAATTGACTATGCCGCCGGCGGCATCCAAGTCGAAAGGGTTAATATTAGTATAATTGTTCTCATTATGTTAGTATTGTGTGTAAAACAATGAACAAAATACTATTTTCAATATACAAATAACGAATGAATGAATTTAACTAGCTGTAAGTGGAATTCTGTCTTAAGGCAATTAGGGCATCGTGCCTTAAGGCAAATTGCTGGAACTTCCCGTACCAAAAATTATTATTTTTTTAATAACGATTAACATTTTTGAAAAAAATTTACTTCGAAATAATTAGATTTTTGAGAAACTAGGAATATGACAAAAAATTACTTTTTTTTGAAAAAAAAAATTTTATTTGAAAAAAAAAATTTTTTTTTGAAAGAAAAATTTTTTTTTGAAAACGAACTATTTTTTTGAAAAGAAAAATGTTTTCTTCATTTTGACATATTTTGGAAATTCTGAACTTTTTTTCAAAGCAATCGTGCTGCTTGAACTGCATAGAGACGAATTGTCACAACGCAAATGCCGCGCCGCCGTCTAACGCATAAACATTGGTACGGAACCCATAGAAATGTAAAAAAAATTATACTTATTGTTAAAATTTCTATACAATATCTGATAATTTGATGTGCATATGTCTAATCATCATTTTTAACCGCCGAATGGCATTTTTTTTTACTTTTTTCATTAGATCTCCGAAACCGCTAGACCTGCCTTCATGAAAAATGATCAACTCTTCATCTTGTCAATACAAGTAAAATGTTTTTTAAATTATTCAAATCGGACGCTCCGTTCTCTTAAAAACTGAGTTACCGTTTTCGGCACTTTTTGCCCCGTACCTTCGGAACGGCTAGACCTAACTTCGCCAAAAACTAATCAGCACGTCTCCTTATCAGTACAAATCGAATGTTTTTTGAATTATTCAAATCGGTTGATCCGTGTTCCCGAAATCGTCGACGAAAATTTGTATCCGCACATACATACACACACATACATACATACACACACACACACACACACACATACATCCATTTTTTCTAAGGTATGCCAAAATGTTCAGAAACCTCTGAAACGTAAAGATATATAAAAATTTTCATTTTCGATTTTTTTGCGATTACTATAACTTACCCTACGGGAAGTTAAAAAAACTAGTGGTGCATGGCATCGTGCTTTAAGAAAAATTTCTGGAACTACCCGTACCAAAAATTTAATATTTTAAAAAAGATTTAAAATTTTTAGAAAACATTGAAAAATTAGATTTTTGAAAATTTTAAAATTTTTGAAAAAAAAAAGATTTTTTTTTAAATTTTAAATATTTTTTTATATCTAGATTTTTTTTATAAATTTTGAACTTTTTTGCAAAGCAATCGCGCTGCGGATAGACATTAGTACGGAACCCACAGATATGTAAATGTAATTTATAATTTTTACTTGAAATCTCTATAAAATATCTCATAATTTGATTGGCATATGTCTAATGATCATTTTTAACATTTCACGGTTAACGGCATTTTGTTTTTTGAATTTTTGAAATCAAATGCTGCGTTTTCTCAAAAACTGAATTTGCCAAAAACTAATCAGCATGTCTCCTTATCAATAGAAATCGAATATTTTTTAAATCATTCAAATTGGTACATTCGTCTTCTCGAAATTGTCGACAAAAATGTGTATCCGAACACACACAAACACACATCCATTTTTTCTAAAGTATGCAAAAATGTTCAAAAATGATATTCTAGATTTTTCACGATTAATATAATTTACTCTACGGTAAGTTAATAAATTATTTCAATACAATAAACGGGTGAAATGAGTTGTAATGTTGCCTTTGTACTAGTTGCGCTAATTATGAGCAAATGTTTATAATTTCAAATATCAAACAAAAATATACATAGCTAATTGGCAATTAATTAGTTTTATGATAGAACGAAATCATCGTTACAGTTCATTCATTTATGAAATTAGTGTAATCATTTCATGTAAATTTAAGGGCTTCAAACAAACTGGTATGTTTCACATGTATATTTGTGATCATGGTTATTGTCCGCAAGTCCATAAAAATATACAAAATACGTTTGTATATTTAATGCGGAAATTAGTTGCTGAAATTAATCCCCTTTTGATGAATATACAACTACATACGCGGATTATATTTACATTTGCATATAGGTCGTGTACGAAAAATCATTCAGATCAGAATTATTGCACTAATTACTATAGTTGGAGTTATTTTTAGACTGGGTCATTATATTAGGATTATTTATGTTTAATTAACATATCGTCTGTCGCTCACAAACTTTAACTAATTTTTTTTTTATTGCAAGGGTTTTTTTCAAGATACCTGAATATAATTTGGGTATATGTTGTTCATTTATTTGTAATATTTTATTAACTTCCTGTAGGATAAGTTATTGTAATGGGCCGAAAATCGAAATTGAAAATTTTTACATTTCTCGACGTGTTGAAGGTTTCTAAACATTTTGGCATACATCAGAAAAAATGGATGTGTGTGTGTGTATCTATGTATGGATACAATTTTTCGTCCACGTTTTCGGGCGCACAAATCAATCGATTTGAATGGTTCAAATAACATTCGATTCCTATTGATAGGGAGATGTGCTGATTAATTTCTGGCAAAAGCAGGTCCAGCTGTTACGGAGATACGAATCAAAAAGTGCAGAAAATAGAAATAGAGTTTTTGAGTAAACGGAGCATCCGATTTGAATGATCTAAGAAACATTCAATTAGTAATGATTGGGAGAAGTGATTATTAGTTTTTGGCAATGGCAAGCCCAGCCATTTCGAGCTAAATGTGCCAAAAATGGCAGTTTTTGAGAAACAAAGCGTCCAATTTAAATGATTCAAAGAACTTTCACCTTGTTTTAACAAAAAAATTGATTTTAGAAAAAAATAGTACCTTTTTTTTAAGTTTTTTGTGATATAGAAAATAATTCAGATTTTATTTTTAATTCTGACTAAAGTTCTAATATACTTAAACAAATAATTTTAACTTTGCAATTCAGTTTATATAATTCTTAAAATATTAGACCAATGTTACAATATTTATAATAATCTATTTAAAAACATTCAGTATTCCTCGAACATTTCGTTACGGTACGGAAGTTCCTGCAATATGCCTTAAGGCACGATGCCATACATCCCACTAGTTTTTAAGTTAGATTGAATCAGTTTTTCCACTAATAAAGCTTACATTAACCACTATAACCACTATAAAAAATTTCATTTAGACCAACTAAATCTTTGGCCAATTGTAAATGTGTAAACGATAAGAAATATGAATTAAGTAAAAAAAGTTA